TCCTCCTCTGAGTCCTCTCCTGGCCGATACACCCAGGCCCTCAGGAAGGCACCTGTGGATGGGATGCGGGAAGGACCCTCAGCAGCTGCTCCTGAATCACTGTCCTCATCGTCTTCTTCCTCTGTGTCCCCTCCTGGCCGATACACCCAGGCCCTGAGCAGAGGCCTCCGGATTAGACTGGAGGAGTGTGGCTCTGGGTCAGCTTCTCCTTTCTCAGTTGCTTCCTTTGCATTTTTATCCTTCTCCTCCTCAGACTCCCCTGAACAATATTCCCAGGCCCTGGGGTTGGAGCCTGAACATGAGGGGGAAATGGCAATCTTTGTGGCTTCTTTATTCTCTGCTCTTCTTTCTTCTTCAGGGGGTCGAGCCTCTTCTTCATTTTTCTCCTCCTCTTCTCCCTCCCCTGGACAACATACCCAAGCACTGGGCTTGGAGCCTAGAGATAAGGGGGGAATAGAGATCCTGGGAGCTTCTTTCTTTACAGCTTCTCTATCCTCATCTTCTTTTTCCTCCACCCCTGGATAGCACTCCAAGGGTGATAGGGGATAAAAGAAGACCTTGGTCATTTCTGTATTGTTAGCAACTCCTTCCTCAGGTGCTTCCTTCTCTTTCTCAGACTCCTTCTCCCCAGGAGGGTCTCGCAAAGTTCTTATCAGAAAGCTGGAGGGCAGGGGAGCAGGCCGGCCATCTGTAAATTCACCTCCCTGCTCTCTAGCCACGCTAGTTGCTTCTTCCTCACCATACTCTTCGTCATCATCATTTGAGGCATCAAGAAAAGAACTACTGTCTTTGAGGTCAGGGCAGGCCCTCCTGTCTGCTTCTCCATCTTCCTCAGCTGTTCTACTGTCTTCAGCCTCTCCTTGAGGGTGCTCACCCCAGGCAGCATGGTGGAAAGCCAGAGAAGCCTTAGCTTCTCCATCCAGGGCAGCTTCTTCTGTTACTGCTTCCACCAACCAGGACTCTGGAGGTCCTGGACCCCTCAGGTGACTCCAAGCCTGACGGACGAGGCCCACCAGTGGGGACAGTAGGAAGAAGGGGTGGACATCCCTCCAGGGGGTGGCCAGAGGGGGCACTTGGCCTGGAGCCATCTGTCTGGGCTGAGAAAAGGGAGGAAAAAAAGAATAAAGTTTAGGCACCATTTAGGTGATGGCATTGGGGCATGACCCTGAGTCATAGCAACGGAAGCAACACAAATAGAAACAAGAGACTCCCTGCCTCAAATTCCTTTCTGATCTCAGCCACTCCCATCTCTGACCCTTGGTTCCATTGTTCCTCCTCACTCCATACCCAGGAGCCTGGCTAGGTCCAGTCTCCTTCCTTAGGCCCAAGAGTCCAAGCCCCCAGCCCCCTCTTCCCTCAGACTCAAAAGTCCCAGTCCCAAGTACCAAGAATAAGGGTCCTCTCCTTGCATCCCCTGATGAAAAAGTCCTAGTCCCCGGTTCTGTCAACCTCCTAAAGGTTGACATATCCAGGCCCTCATCATCCTCTTCCCTCGGAGACTCAAAAATTCTAATACTCCCACCGCCAGATGGTTCCTTCATTGGGGACCCAAAAGTCTGGCTCCCAAACCCCGCCTCCCTCAGACCCAGGACTCCAGGCTCCCAATCCCTTCTCCGTCCTAAATCCAGGCCCCCAGCCTAGCCCTCCCTCCAGAGACCCAGAATCCAGCCCCCCCCCACTCCAGACCCGGGAGTCCAGGCTCCCAGACCCCCTTTCTCAGGACCCAGGAGTCCCAGCCCGAACCCCCCTGCCTAGGAACCCAGAGCCCTCTCCTTGGTTAGTGAGCAGGAGTCTGGTCCCCCAACCCCCTCGGGACCCAGCCACTCTGACCTCTCACTCACCGGCTTGGGGCTGCAGGTCACCCAGGGGATAAGAGGGCAGGCTCGTGCTGCCAGGAGCGATCGCAGGTCCGGGCGGCTCGGGAGTCCGGCCAGTTCATCTCGCCCTCAGGAGTCGGGCTCGAGGACTCAAAGTATTACGGGGTGCCCTAAGCGCTGTGGCGACAAACGGGCGCGGGTTCGTGCGGCGTCGAGCATGTACGTAACCTATCGTTAAGCTGTCAGCAGATCTGTTTAGCGATGACGACGCCTACAAAGCTTTTATAATCGGTCGCGTCCGGACGTGATGACGTTACGAAGAGAGGCGGGGTTTCGAAGCGTCGGCGCCGGGGCTGGGAAAGGAAAAATAGAAGTGGCCGTAGCGGAGATTCCGGGGCTTTGTGACGTCACGGCTGCGTTTCCAAGCGTGGCCACACCCGAAACAAGCGAGCTGTCAATCAAACGCGTAAGACGCGAGAACTTTCTCTCAACCTCTGTTCGATATCGACTTACCGGGCAAACCCCTTCCCACCCCAATTTCATCAGGCTTTGGTTTAGATTTTCCCATCCTCACGTCCGGCCTGCTTTCTTCCTGGTGCGGGAGGACTTTGCTGTTCCCATTTCACAGATAAGGAAACTGAGCTCAGGGGGAATGTGAGCACTCTGAAGGCAGGCGCTTTGCATTGCTCACTGCTTTCTTCTCAGTGATTACAACAGTGTCTGACACATCACAGGTGCTCAACAAATACACGGTGAATGGATACTAAGTTGAAATTTCATACTGCTTCCCAGTTATCAGCAGAGGCCCCTCTTCTGGATTTCACTAGCTGCAATCTTTGCTCACTCAGACGGAAATTCTGGCTGGGTGGCACCAACTGAAACTCGTGGCAGTTAGGGGGCTTCCAGGCCAGTCTTCCAGCCCCTCTCCCCTTCAAAAATAACCCAAACCAGTTGCCCTGGAGTCAGCTCTGACTCATGATGACCCCATGTGTGTCAGAGTAGAACTGTGCTCCCTGGGGTTTTCAATGGCCGATTTTCTGAAGTAGATCACTAGGCCTTTCTTCTGAGGTGCCTCTGGTGGACTTGAACCTCCAAGCTCTCAGTTAGCAGTCAAGCCCATAATGGTTTGTACCACCCAGGGACTGCACTCCTCCCTTACTGGGTCGGTAATTCTACCCCTCCAGCCACACACAGCAACCATATCTCTCTCCTGAGAGTGTCCTCCTCTGTCTACACCAGAATCCTCACCTGGATCTGAGGTGGAGATTTGACACTGGCCACTTAGACCCCGCCCTGGCCAGAATCCCGGAATCTGGGCCACTGTCTCCTCCTTGAGGGACCTGGACAAACCGTTCCCAGCCCCATCAACTCAAAGCCACGCTTTCAGGCCCCGGATCTATTTACAACTCAGCAGTCCTGGCTCCTAGCCTGCACCTTCTCAGGACCCAAGAGTCTAGATCCCTAAGCCCAATCCCTCCAAGGCTCCAGGAATCTGAGCCCCCACCCCTTCCAAGATCCAAGCCCTGCCCTCTCAGGGTGCCAGTGGCCCACGCCCTAGACCACAACCAGCCCCCTGGGGCCTTGGGAGTCCAGGCCCCATCTCCTACACTCTAAATTTTTCAGAGTCACAGCGTCAGTCCTTAAGGGACCCAGGCCATCCAGACCCCAGGCTCTCAGGGACCCAGAAGTGGGGGTGGGTGGGCCCAGCTCTTCCTCTCATCCGTGGGGTCAGCTGAGCCAGGGGTCAGGCTGTGGTGGGGAGGCCAGAAGGGGCGGGGACAGCCAGGATTGGGAGGGGAGACAAGAGCGTGGGCGTGGGCGGCTGGCAGAGGGAGGGAGAGACCAGCAGAAAGGAAAGAGTAACGAGAGAAAGTGAGAAGGAGACTCTGAAAGAGAGAGGGGAGGAAACAGCAGACAGCCGACGTGGAGGGCCACAGAGAAAGAGAAAGAGACTCAAGGAAGTGAGGCTGAGGGAGAGTGCAACAGAAAGATTGGATGAGAAAGTGATACAGGGGCTGGGGGAGGAGAATGAGTGAGAGAGAGACTGGAAGAGACAAAGATTGGAGAGAGAGAGACAGAAGGTGAGACTGGGAGAGTTCTAGAAACTGAGGTTGAGAAGAGACCATAAGAGACGAGAGACAGAGACACAGAGAGTGTGAGGGAGCAGTGAGGAGACGGAGGGGTATGAGAGACAGACAAGGGGGCAGCTTGTGACGAGGGCCCCTGAGCACACACGCCGCCCTCTTGCCCCCTGTCGTTGGGACCCCAGAGCTGGGTAAGTTCCCTGGCTGGGCTGGGAGGGCTGCCTGCGGGCACATCCCCAGTGCCCCAGGGCTTGGCTTGGTGATGGTTTGGGGGTGCACGTGGGAGGGCAGGAGACAGGTAGCCTAGGGCAGCTGGAAGGGGCAGGGAGTGCGGGGCTCCTTAGCACAGAGCGGGTCAAATTCCTGGCCAGAGCCAAAGGGGCAGGAATAAAGGGGCCCCTATTCTCTGTCCTGAGCTGCAAACAGCTGCCCACTCCCCAGCAGCTGCCAGAGCCGCCCACCTCTCTTGGCATCACCCTTGGTATGTGGTCCTGAGCCAGGGCCTCCCCCAGCCCCTTAGTCCCCAAACAACAGACTCTTTCTCCTCAGCCTCCTCCAACCTCCAGGCCCCTGACCCCGGCTCTGTCCCCAGCTGGGTCAGCTGCGGAGACATAGCCCCTTTCTTCCTCTCCCCCAGCCCTTGATGGAGGAGGGCAGACCCCGGAGCAGCCTCAGCCTGGCCAGCAGTGCCTCCACCATCGCCTCACTCAGCAGCCTGAGCACCAAGGTGCGAGCTCCCTGGTGGGCATGGGGACAAGGGCGGGACTCTGGGGCTGCACTGTCCTCCTGCCCCTCCCTCTTGTTCTGCACGTCTCCCTCAGACTCCTGTTGCCAAGGGCAGAGAATCCTTAGCAACAGAGCCAGCCAGGCCTAGGAAGGTCCCAAATTGCCCACCAGCCACAGCTAGGAATTCAGAGCCACTCCCTGCTCTGTCCCCACCCCTCCTATTTTCCTAATTTGAAGCCAGAGTAACAACCCAGATTGACCTTGGTTGCTAAGATAAGGACACATCCAAACCATGAGGCCCTCTAAACAACAACAAAAAAAAAAACCCAAACTCGTTGCTGTGGAGTTGATTCCGACTCATGGTGATCCCATGTGTTACAGAGTAGAACTGCTCCATAGGGTTTTCTGGGCTGTAATCTTTATGGAAAGGAGCCCTGGTGGCACAACCGTCAAGCGCTTGGCTGCTAACCAAAAGGTGTGGTTTGAACCCCCCCCCCCCGCAGTGGCTCTGTGGGAGAAAGACCTGGTGATCTGCTCCCGTTAAGGTTATAGCCTAGAAAGCCCTATGGGGCAGTTCTGTTCTGTCACGTGGGGTCGTTGAGTCAAAAATCAACTCCATGGCACACAACAACAATAACAATCTTTATGGAAGCAAATTGCCAGGACTTTCTTCTGTAGTACTGCTCAGTGGGTTTGAACCACCCACCTTTAGGTTAGTAGCTGAGTGCAAACTGTTTGCGCCACCCAGGGACCTTGAGGCCCCTCTAAAAACTCAGAATCAGTGGCTACTCTTGATTAGGACTGAGGCCACTCTATCCTGTCTTTGGCCATCAAATCTACCCAGTTACAAAATCCTGTAAGGAAGGACCCTTTTCTGGCAATAAGGTCCCATGAGGCCCAAGATACTTGAGACCCAGATTGTAACCCAAGCCAGAAGTTCAGAAATGACACCCATTTCCTCATCCTCCTGCTATCCACCTCACACATTTTCAGCTTCCCAAGTTCTGAGCCCATAGATTAGATCACAGCCTTGGTCCCAACTATCTTCAAGGAAGGGAGTCCTTGAGGCAATCTGGCAGTGGACACCTGAGATATCTGTTGCATCAGGATAAGTGGCTCCATGGGAGCAGGATGGAGACATCTGGAGTCTCCTTTCTTCCCTGGTAACCCCATGTGTGCAGAGTAGAACTGCCCCATAGGGTAGCAGGTTGCCATGCCTGTCTTTCTAGGCGCCTCTGGGTGGGTTTGAACTGCCAGTCTTTCAGTTAGTAGTCATGTGCATTAACCATTTGCACCACCCCAGGACTTGGCATCACATGGGGTTGCAAAGTCAGAATCCATTCAGTGGTAACCAACCACCACAGCAACAACTCTTCCCTGGAGGAGTCCCTGGGTTGTGCAAATGGTTAATGCCCTGAGATACCAACAGAAAGGCTGGCAGTTAGAGTCCGTCCAGCGTCACTGATGAAGAAACCTGTTCAGCATCATAGCAACATGCAAGCCTCCACTAACAGATGGGTGGTGGCTGTGCATGAGGTGCATTGGCCAGGAATCCAACCCCGGTCTCCTGCATAGAAGCGGAGAATTCTACCATCGAACCACCTCTGCCTCAAGGGAAGGCTTGCAAGGGTTTGTGAAGCTCATGGCCACCTTGTCCCACTCTGAGCCCATCTCGAGGCCCCACTGACTTCTGTCTCCCTTCTCTCCTCAGAAGTCCACCCGGGCGGTTAGCAAGGTCCACGCCTTCGGGAAGAGAGGAAATGCTCTCCGAAGGGACCCCAATCTCCCCGTGCACATCCGAGGCTGGCTTCATAAGCAGGTAGAACTCGGGGGAGTGGACTTCACAGGAGAAGGGAAAGGACACGCTGAGTGCCGCTAGAGGCTGTGTCCCTGGCTGTCTGCAGCATCTTCTTTCTCTTTCTCTCCTTCCAAGTCCCCAAACGTGTTTCTTTTTGCAATCACTGCTTTGCCGCTTATTCTGTCACTCATTCACTCACTCATTCATCCATTCGTTCATTCAATAACTGTATCTTGAAGTTTACCACTACGGTAGGGGGCAGGGCCTCCAGGGGGAGGAGTTGGGAACAATTACGAAGACTCCAAAAGGAGATACAGGGAAAGGGGCGTGGCCTGGATCTACATTCACCAATCATCACCCTCCGCGCGGGAGGCGTCCAATCACTAGTCTTCTGTGGAGGGGGCCCACCATGCAAATAACACAAACAAGCTTCTATATCACATTCAAGACGTCAGTGGGATGGGGACAGATAATAAATTAGTAAATAAATAACAGAAGGGATAATTTCAGGAAGTTGTGAGTGCTGTAAGGAGCGCTAGTGGCGGAGTGATTACGAGCTTGGCTGCTAACCGAAAGGTCTGCGGTTCAAACCCACCGGCCTCTCCGTGGGAGAAAGATGTGCTTCTGTGAAGATTTACAGCCTTGAAAACCCAATGAAGCAGTTCTACTCTGATCTATAGGGTCGCTATGAGTTGGGATGAACTCGACAACAACGGGCTTTGGTTAGGTAGTGAGTGCTGTGAAGAAATGACACGGGATTGTGATAAAGAGTGGCCAGGGGATGAGGGCTGTGTTTGATTGTTGGTCCTGGAAGACCTCTCTGAGGAGATAACATTTGAGCTAAGAACTAAGTGACAAGAAGGAGTCCCACTAAGACCTTGGAGCAGAGGGACTCAGAAGGCTAAAGGCCCTACAGATGGCAAAAGTTTGGTGTTTCCAGTGAGCCTGAGGGAGAGAGGTAGAAAGGGTGGCAGGGGCCATATCACCTAGGCAGCAGTTCTCAAAGTGGGAATACCGAACAGCAGCATCAGCATCATCTGGGAACTTGCTGGAAATTCAAATTATCACCACAACATACTGGCATCCAGCTCGTTATCCTAATCTGTTGCATCAAACATGATCTCAGTCGCTCCTTTCTCTCTGGGTCTCTGTCCCCCTCTCTCTGGGTCTCTGTCCCCTTCTCTCTGGGCCTCTGTACCCCTCTCTCTAGGTCTCTGTCCCCCTATCTCTGGCTGCTGTCCCCTCTTTCTTGGTCTTTATTCCCGTGTCTCTGGGTCTCTGCCCTCTCTCTCTCTAGACCTTTGTCTGTAGATGTTACTGTCACCATCTCCTCTTTCCTCTCCCCTCAGCTCAGGCCTCTGCTCCCGATTTCTCTCCCCAGGACAGCGCCGGACTCCGGCTCTGGAAACGCCGCTGGTTCGTCCTCTCTGGCCATTGCCTCTTCTATTACAAGGGTCAGTGCCCTGGCTGGCATGGGGTGGGGGGCTCTCTCCCACCAGTCTTTTACCTCCTGACCCCTGGGTGATACCTGACCCCAGCCTCCCTTTTGCAGACAGCCGCGAAGAGAGCGTCCTGGGCAGCGTCCTACTCCCCAGCTACAGTATCAGGCCAGATGGACCGGGAGCCCCCCGAGGGCGGCGCTTCACCTTCACCGTGAGTCCCTCCGTCTCCCATGGGCACGAGGCACTGGGGGTTTGATGGGAGGTTGGTGGAGGAGGAAGCTCCCGAACATCCACTAGCGGAGATAAGAGGTCTTGACCAGGGTCCATAGCATCCTTTGTAGAGGGCCCGAGCGTCCGAATCCCCAGCCTTCTCTTCCCGCAGGCTGAGCACCCAGGCATGAGAACCTATGTCCTGGCGGCTGACACACTAGAGGACCTGCGAGGCTGGCTCCGAGCGCTGGGCCGTGCCTCCCGAGCGGAGGGTGATGACTGGTGAGTATAGCTCCAGGCCACGCCCCTTTTTCCTGTCTCTTCGATGGGAGTTAGCTTAATCTTTCCCAACTATTCCCCCTGGAGGCCCTGCCCCTTGAAAAGAACGTCCAATCACCAGTCCTCTAGCTAAGGAGACTCCGCTTTTCTGGCACCGCCTCTGGAGTAGTTCAACTCCTCGAATCAGCAAACGTGTGCCCCTTCTAAGCTCTACCCACCTGACCCTCCAATCAGGAAATCTGATAGGCTCAGTTTCGTCCCACCCCACCAATTATCAGTATTCCACACTTTCCAATTGGCTGCTTCAGTAGTCTCCGACCCCTGATTCCTAAACTATCTCAAAACTCCGCCGGAGTTCAGACTTCAGGCCGGGTCTCAGGTTCTGTCCCGGCTTGCCCTAATCTTCAGGCTGAAAACCCGGACTCCCTGCCTCATTCTATCTCAGAATCCGGGGCACTGGGTCCAGCGACCTTGAGATGGACTTTATAGCCCTGCAGAACCATCCTGGAGCCTCAGTGTCCCATCTGCAAAATGGGGTCATGATTTAGTGCACCACCTCCCCTCTAGGTAGGTCCCTGTGTCCTCATCTGTGAACAGAGAATAAGGGCTGTTATACGGTTCAAAAAAGTAATGTCTTTTTCTGTACCCACTGGCTAGTGGGCGGCCCAAGTCACCCACACGTCCTCAGCCTGGGGAGGGCCCTGGCGGCCCCGGTGGTCCTCCAGAGGTGAGCAGAGGGGAAGAGGGGCGCAGTCCAGAATCACAGGAGGTGGCTTGGCTCTCTAGAGGACGTGGCGGACCCAGGCTGCTCACTCCCAGCCCCACAGCAGACCTCCAGTCTGGACCCCGGATTCGGAGAGCGAGGAGCCCAGAGTGAGTGGGATCTGGGAGTCGAGATAAAAGGATCCATAGGACTGAGCTTTGAGGGGAGGGAATCCAATGCATGGGGCATGGCTTATGAGAAGGGCGGGGCCTGTTGGAAAGAAAGCAGTTGGGGACAGGTTAGGGGGCGTGGCTTAGCACTCGAGTTAGTGTATGTGTTGCAAGGTTCTCGTGGGTCAGAGCCTGCTGAGAAGAAGTTCTAAGAAGGAGGTGCTACACAGGGAAAATATTCGGGGTCTGGTGAATAAAATGTAGCCTTGGTGTTACAGTGGTTAAGAACTTGGCTGCTAACCGAAAGCTCGGTAGTTCGAATCCACCAGGCGCTCCTTGGAAATTCTATGGGGCAGTTCTACTCTGTCCTATAGGGTCGCTATGAGTCGGAATCGACTCGAGGGCAACGGGGGGTGAATAAAAGAGGGTTCTACTCCAGCAGGCCAGTGAAGCACACTGAAGAAAGTATCTTTCTGAAAGACATCTTTGAGGCTGACTTCATGGGTACTAGGGGATGGGTGGGCTCTAGTTCATTCAGTTTCCCGATTCTTTCCACCCCACAGCCTTTTCACACCCCTCTCTCGCCCTCCTTCTCCTCTGAGCTTCCCCCGGCCCCGTTCTGCTCCTGCGCGCCGACCCCCTCTCTCAGGAGACACAGAACCCCCTGCCCGTCCGCATACCCCTCTGAGTCGCATCGATGTTCGACCTCCCCTGGAATGGGGCCCCCAGCGTCGGACCCTCTCCCGGCCCCCCACTCCCAGCCGAGGACCTCCTTCTGAGGCTGGCGCAGGAAGACCCCCCAGGAGTCCCCAGCACTGGAGTCAGGAGCCCAGAACACCTGTCAACAGAGAGGTAACGGAGAAGGGAACTACATCTCCCATGTATCCCTGGGCAGGCCTTTCTAGGCTGATTGCCAGGTCTTTGCCCCTGAGAATTATGGGGATTGTAGTCCAGAATAGCCTCGGCTAAGCTCAGATGTGAGCGGGAGAGTGGACTGTATCTCCCATCAGGCATCAGGATTGTCTTTCCAGGCTAGTCTCTGGCTATGGCCCCTTAAAGCAAAATGGGGACCGTAGTCCAGAATACTCTCCTCTGAGACTGCGATGGGAGAGAAAAAGTGAATTCCATCTGCCTTGTGTCCTCAATTTAGCTTTCCAACTTGGTTACCTGCTGTTTTTCTCTGAGCATTAGAGGACTGTGGTCCAGAAAACCCACAGCTAGCCATAAGTGTGAGAGTGGATTGTGACTCCCTTAGCACTGGGGCTGTGTTTGTTTTTTTGTTTTAACTGTAGGAAATAAATATGCTCAGAAGAAAGGCCTGGCAATCTATTTCTAATAAATGAGCCATTGAAAAACCAGTTTCCATAGAGCACAGTTCTTCTCTGAGACACATGGAGTTGACATGAGTCAGAAGAGACTTGATGCCACTTGACATAAATGTATATGTAATAAAATATTTTCCATTTCAACATTTTTTACATGTACAATTCAGTGACATTAATTATGTTTGCTATGTTTTGAAACCATCACCTCACCACTATCTGTTTCCAAAATTTTTCCATCATCATTAACAGAAGCTCATGGGGCTTTTTTTTTCAAAATATAGTTTGTTATTTTTGTTGATGTTGTTGAGAATATACACAGCAGAACATACACGAATTCAACAATTTCTACATGTGCAGTTCAATGACACTGATTACATTCTTTGATTTGTGCAACCATTCTCACCCTTCTTTTCTGACTTGTTCTTCCCCTATGAACATAAACTCACTGTCCCCTACGTTTACTGTCTAATATTTCAAGTTGCTGTTGTCAATTTGATCTCATATCCAAAACCAAACTCATTGCCATCGAGTTGATTCTGACTCATAGCGATCCTATAGCACAGAGTAGAACCTACCCCATAGTTTCCGAGGCTGTAATCTTTACGGAAAGAGACTGCCCCATCTTTCTCCCACGGGTGGCTGGTGGGTTCGAACTGCCCACCTTTCTGGTTAACAGCTGAGCACTTAGCAACTGTGCCACCAGAGTTCCTTTGATCGCATACAGATGGGTCTTAAAAGAGCACAATGCTCAATCAAAGCAGACATTCTTTTTTTTAATTGTTGTACTTTAAGTGAAAGTTTATAATTCAGGTTAGTATCTCATACAAAAATTTATACATACGTTGTTATATGACCCTAATTGCTCTCCCTATACTGTGACAGCACACTCCTCCTTTCCACCCCTCATTTCCTGTGTCCATTCAACCAGCTCCTGACCCTCTCCGCATTCTCATCTCTCCTCTGGACAGGAGCTGCCCATTTAGTCTCTTGTATCTACTTGAGCTAAGAAGCACACTCTTCACGAGTATCATTTTATGTCTTATAGTCCAGTCTAATCTTTGTCTGAAGAGTTGGCCTCGGGAATGATTTTAGTTTTGGGTTGACAGAGAGTCCGGGGGCCGTGCTTTCTGGGGTTCCTCCAGTCTCAGTCAGACCATTAAGTTTGGTCTTCTTACTAGACTTTGAGTTCTTCACCCCAATTTTCTCCTGCTCCATCAGGGACTCTCTGTTGTGTTCCCTGTCAGGGCGGTCATTGGTGGTAGCCGGGCACCATCTACTTCTTCTGGTCTCAGGCTGATGGAGTCTCTGGTTTATGTGGCCCTTTCTGTCCCTTGGGCTAATACTTTCCTTGTGACTTTCGTATTCTTCATTCTCCTTTGCTCCAGATTGCTGGGACCAATTGATGCATCTTAGATGGCCGCTCACTAGCTTTTAAGACCCCAGATGCCACTAACCAAAGTAGGATGCAGAACATTTTCTTAATAAACTTTGTTATGCCAGTTGACCTAGATGTCCCCTGAAAGCATGGTCCCCAGACCCCTGCCCCTGCTACTCTGTCCCTCGAAGTGTTTGGTTGTATTCAGGAAACTTCTTAGCTTTGGTTTAGTCCAGTTGTGCTGACTTCCCCTGTGGTGTGTGCTGTCCTTCCCTTCATCTAAGATAATTCTTGTCTACCATCTAGTTAGTGAATAACCCTCTCCCTCCCTCCCCTCGTAACCATCAAAGAATGTTTTCTGGGTTTAAACTTTTTCTTGAGTTCTTATAACAGTGATCTTACACAATATTTGTCCTTTTGTGACTGACTAAATTCACTCAACATAATGCCTTCCAGATTCCTCCATGTTATGTTTCACGGATTCATCGTTGTTTTTTATTGTTGTGTAGTATTCCATTGTGTGAATATACCATAATTTGTTTACCCATTCATCTGTTGATGGGTACTTAGGTTGTTTCCATCTTTTTGCTATTGTGAATAGTGCTGCAATGAACATGGGTGTGCATATATCTATTTGTGTGATGGCTGTTATTTCTCTAGGATATATTCCAAGGAGTGGGATTGCTGGATCGTATGGTACTTCTATTTCTAGCTTTTTAAGGAAACGCTAAATTGATTTCTAAAGTGGCTGTACCATTTTACATTCCCACCAACAGTGTATAAGTGTTCCAGTCTCTCCACAACCTCTCCAACATTTATTATTTTGTGTTTTTTAGATTAATCAAAGCAGACATTCTTTACTAGTTAAGCTAAACAATTGTTTGGTTTCAAAAGACTTTCAGGGGGTATTTTTGGTTTAAGGTTTAAAGATCATCTCTGGGCAATAGTTTCAGATATTCATGCAGCCTCCATGGCTCCAGAAAGTCTGGATTCCATGAGAATTTGAAATTCTGATCTGCGTTTTCCTTTTCTATAGAATCTTTGATCAGAATGTTCAGTATTGGTATCCAATCACCATTCATGGGGCTGTTGTGTTGGGCTAGTCCACTCACTATTGTCCCCATACTGGCACATAGCTGGAGAGGGGGTAGTTGAGGAAGTTGTAGGGGGCCCAGTCTAAACCTGCAAAAGTCTCCTAAGGCACTTCAATTCTTGACACACCCATTCTAATATTTGTTAACCAATTACCATCGAGCCAACTCGAACTCATGGTGACCCCATGTGTGTCAGAGTAGAACTGTGTGTCATAGGATTTTCAATGGCTGAGTTTTTGGAAGTAGATCACCAGGGCTTTCTTCTGAAGAGCCTCTGGGTGGACTTGAACCTCCAATGTTTCTGTTAGCAGTTGAGCACGTTAACAGTTTGCGCCACTCAGGGACTCCAGTATTTGTTACTAAGACATGCCAATGTCTAAACTTCTCTATTTTAATATTCTTCCCAGGCCCCCTCTGGCTCCTCCACATATCTCCGGCTGCCCCCAAGGCCCCCTGGAACCCGGGCCTCCATGGTTTTATTGGTAGGTAACTGAGGCACCCAGAGTTTACCAGAGCCCCTTCCCTTGCTTGCTTTGCTATGGGAAATGTCATCTCCTGGCAATGAGGACTAGACCTGGAACAGACTGAATATTTCAAGGTTCCTGGGTAGGTGCTCAGAGTCCCTGGGTGGTACAAACAGTTAACCCACTCACTGCTAAGTGAAACGTTGGTCATTTGAGTCCACCCATAGGCACCTTGGAAGAAAGGCCTGCTGATTTACTTCCAAAAAATCAGACATTGAAAACCCTATGGCGCACAGTTCTACTCTGATACACATGGGGTCACCATGAGTCAAAATGGACTTGACTGCAACTGGTTGGTTGGTTGGTGGAGTAGGTGCTCAAGAGTTTTCAGGTTGCAGGGGCAGGGCCTTTCCTGGCAACAAGACCTATGAGGACCTGAGACCCATCTCTGCCCTTTGGAAATTCTTTGTGATAAGACAGGGGTGATAGGATATGTATTAGTTTCCTGTGGCTGCTGTAATAAAGTAGCACAAACTTGGTGACTTAAAACAACAGAAATTTATTCTCTCACAGCTGTGGGGGCTAGCAGTCTGAAATCAACGTGTTGGCAGGGCCACGCTCTCTCTGAAGGCTCTAGTGGAAGATCTTTCCTTTGCCTCTTCCTAGCTTCTGGTGGTTCTTGGCAATCCTTGGTGTCCCTTGGCTTGTAGATGCATCACTGCAAACCTTTAGGTTAGCAATCACTTCTTAGCAATTGACAACTGAGGTCTGCAAGGGCTTCAGATGAAGCTAATAAAGAGAAGAGGGGTGTCTGTCTGTAGAAACAGGGCTTGGCTCAGCCCCGAGCTACAATAAGCACCAGTCTGTCCCACATGACCCTGACTTTTCTCCCTCTCCTCAGCCGGGGCCCCCCCTGGACTCAGCCTTCCACCAAAGCTTGGAGACGGATGTAAGTTCTCCCCATTCCAAACCCTGCTGAGTTCCCAGAGTTGGGGAGAGAATGTTCTGGGAGGTGGTGGAGCACTGGCAGGAGAAGAGCCAGATTTGGTCCATAAATAGCTCCTGCTCTACTTTTTCCAGACTCTGTTGACCAAGTTATGCGGGCAGGACCAGCTCCTGAGGACGCTGCAGGAGGAGATCGACCAGAGGCAGGAGGAGAAGGTACAAACTAAGCCCTGCCCTTTCCTCTGTAAATCCCTCCCACTTCATCCTAGGGGGCGGGACTTCATGATAGGACCCACCCTTAGCTCTATTCCTCCTCCTTGGATTCTAAGCCGCCACCCACTGGTGTTAAATATCACCCAGCACCAGCAATTCATCACAACCAAGTTAGATTTATTATAAGAATACAAGGTTAAGTTAACATTTGAAAATCAGTCCATCAGTCCTCTGGCCTCTCTGGCTGCCCTTGGCCATTCTTGATCCCCCAGCATCCTGGATGGCAAGGATATGGGAGGACCACCTTTTTTCTTTCCCAGCAGGCTGGGTTTGGCTTCAGCAATCTAACCACCTTCCCTCTTGGTGCAGGAGCAGCTAGAAGCCGCTCTGGAGCTGACCCGGCAGCAGTTGAGCCAAACAACTAGGGAGGCTGGGGCTCCTGGGAGGGCCTGGGGGCGCCAGCGCCTCCTGCAGGACCGCCTGGTCAGCGTGAGGGCCACTCTTTGTCACCTGGCTCAGGTGAGCATTGGGAAGGACCTCCCGCTTCCTGGAGGCCCCATGATTCTGCAGGTTCTTACTGAAGGGGACCTGCCTAAAGGGCTCATGGGCAGGTAGTTATTGATTCCCTCCACCGCAAATTTTAAAACTGTGGTCTTGACTATCCAGGGGCAAGCGGCCAAGAAACAACAGAAATTAGTTTAGCGGTTTAAGAGGGTAATTTTGATATGAGCTTCCTGGTTTTGAATCTCAGCCTCCACTCATGGTAGCTGAGTGACCTTAGAAAAGTTACTTAACTCCTCTGGACCTTAGATGCTTACTGTGTAAACTAGGAGCCCTAGTGGCACAGTGGTCAAGAGCTAGGTTGCTAACCGAAAGTTTGGCGGTTCAAACCCACCAGCCGCTCCACAGGAGAAAGACTTACAATCTGCTTCCGTGAAGATTTACAGCCTTGGAAACCCTATGGGGCAGTTCTACTCTGTTGTATAGGGTCGCTGTGAGTCGGAATCGACTGCACGGTAATGGGGTTTGGTTATTTGTCTACAGTGACAGCTCATTGGAATTGCAGGGTCAACTTCCGGGGTTCCCAGGAGTCACAGCAAATAGGCTCACGGGAATTGTAGTTCATGTACCCTGAGGGCTCCAGGGACCAGGCCTCCCTCCTCCTCCGCAGCTGGGAAAAGACCGGACGGGGAAGAATCTGGTGGGTGTGGATGCTAACCCTGTGTCTTCTCTTTTCCGGGGCCTGAGGAGCGGGAGCGTGTTCGGGACACGTACAGCAGCCTGGAGCAGGAGCTGGGCACCTTGCGAGAAACCCTCGAGTACCTGCTGCACCTCGGCTCCCCCCAGGTACATCCCTGCCCCCAGGCTTGAAGCCCACACTTCACTCCAGGTCCCGCCTCAAGCATTCAAACTCCTCACGCAGAAGTGAAGCTCCTCCCACTTTATCCTAAATTCCATCGCTTAACTCTAATCCTGCTTCAATTGTTTTTATTTTTTCAACATTTGATTGTTGTTTAGGTGAAAGTTTGAAGAGTAAATTAGTTTCCTAATCAAACAGTTTATACACAGCTTGTTTCATGACATTGTTGGCAAACCCCTGGATGTGTCAGCACTCCCCCGCTTCCTCCCTGGGTTCCCGGTGTCCATTCGCCCAGCTTTCCTGCCCCTACCATCTGTCTGAACTTTGCTTTTGGGAAAATTCTGTCCTTTAGGTCTTGTATAATTGATTGTTCTGGGGTATACATTGCTCATTGATGTTATTGTTCATTTTATCAGTCTGTCTATTGTATGGCTATAATGTGATCTCCAGGGGTGATTTCAGTTACAAGTTTTGAAGGATGATTTCACTTCCATAGTGTTGGGGGTTCCACCAGTCTCTGTCAGACTGGTAAGTCTGGTCTTATTTATGAGTTTGAATTTTGTTCTACATTTCTCTCCCACTCTGTCCATGACCTACTATTGTGGCCCCAGTCAAAGCAGTCAGTAGTGGTAGCTGGGCACCATCTAGTTCTTCTGGTCTCAGGATAGTGGAGACCATGGTTCCTGTGGTCCACTAGTCCTTTGGACTAATTGTTTCCTTGAGTCTTTGGTTTTCTTCACTCTTCTTTGTTCTGGATAGAAGAGACCAATTGTTGTGTCTTAGATTGCCTCTTGCAAGCTTTTAAGACCCCGGTCGCCACTCACCAAGGTAGAATGTAGAACATTGTCTGTATGGATTATGATATACCAATTGACCTAGATGTTCCCTGAGACTATGGTCCCTAGCCCTAAAGCCCAGTATCTCAATCCCAGGAGGTGTATGGTTATGACTAAGTTTTCATGACTGTGTCCCCTGTGTGCACTATTGCATACATGTGTATATTTGCAGCATACACCCATAGATATGTACGTTGAGTATACTTCCATATGCCCTACCATCCCTGTTCAGCTTACATATCTACCCATGTATCCACTCATACATTGTTACTACTGTTCTTGCTGGATTGTATATGTATTAGTATTTACTGTTTTGTCTTTTACTCTTGCATGCCTTTCTGTGTCTTCCTTTACCTTGATTATGTTTGCTGACTTCCCCCATATTCTGTATGATCTCTCCCTTCACCAAAGTTAGTATGCGTCTACTATCTAGTTAGTGGTTTTTCCCTCCCCACTCCCCATCCCTGGTACCCATCAAAGAATGTTTGTCTATGTGAAAATCTTTTCTTGACTTTTTATAGTAGTGGTCTCATACAGTATTTGTCCTTTTGTGATTGACTTATTTCACTCAGCATAATGTCCTCTAGGTTGACCCATGTTGTGAGATGTTTTGCGGTTTTGTCGTTATTCTTTAATGTTGCATAGCATTCCATTTTGTGTATGTACCACAGTTTGTTTATTCATTTATCCATTGATGAGCACATAGGCTGTTTCCATCTTTTTGCTATTGTAAATAATCCCGCAGTGAACATGTGTGTGCATATGTCTATTCATGTCATGGTTCTTGTTTCTCTAGAGTATATACCTGTGAGTGGAACTGATGGATCATATGGATTTCTATTTCTAGCTTTTTGAGGAAGTGCCATATTGTTTTCCATAGCGGTTTTACCATTTTCCATTCCTACCAGCAGTGTATGAGAGTTCCAGTCTCCCCACAGCATCTCCAGCATTAGTTGGTTTCTGTTTTTTTGATCAGTGCCATTATTACTGGTGTGAGATGGTATCTCATTGCAGTTTTGATTTGCATCTCTCAAATGGCTAATGATCATGAGATCATGCTTCAGTTCTAAGCCCCCATCTATTGGTGTTAAATATCGCCCAAACCAAATCCATTGCTGTCAAGTTGATTCTGACTCTTGGTGACTAGGAAGAAAGGTCTGGTGATCTACTTCCAAAAATTAGCTAATGAAAACCCTATGGATCACAACAGAGTATTGTCCAGTAGATGGCACAGGACTGGGCAACATTTCATTCTGTTGTACATGGGGTTGCCATGAGTTGTAGCTGACTCAGTGACAGCTAACAACAATATTTATGATAGAAGTGACACTGCAGGACAGTACAGAAAGGACAGTCTTTTCAGTAAATGGTGCTGGATCTTTGGGTTTTCTGTTTGGAAAATAAAAAACAAATCCTGACCCCTAAATATAGTCAGGGAGTCCCTTGTTGGCACAACCAGGTGTGGCTGGGCTACTAACCAAACGGTTGGCAGTTCAAACCCAGCTCGAGGCACCTTGGAAGAAAGGCCTGGCAATCTGCATCTTAAAGGTCTTAACAAGAAAACCCTATGGAGCAGTCCTACTCTGAAACACATGGGGTCGTCATGAGTTGGAGCTGACTCCATGGCAACTGGAAGAATGGAATGGAAATATAGCCCAGTTGATTTCAGACCCTTTCTGTGATTGATCTGCTACGACCCTCTTTGCATTTTCCCACCTTTGAATAACAAATTCCTTTCCTCCATCCTGGTTCTCTTTCCCCTCAGGACAGAACATCTGCTCAACAGCAGCTGTGGATGGTGGAAGACACACTGGCAGGTCTGGGGGGGCCCCAGAAACCACCCCCCAACACTGAACCTGGCTCCCCATCCTCCGTGTTCCAAGGCGAGGAGTCTTCAGAGAGAGAGGTGAGACTCATACATCTTTCTTCACACCCCCAGCTCCCTGTCCCATCTGCCCCTGGCCCTACTCATCACCTACACACCTCTTTCCCTTTCCCTTTAGATCAGCTAACTAACCTCAAGAAAGTCCTCTGGCCACTTCATTTCCTCATTTGCACCATTGAGATCATAGTTCACTGTGTGCCATAGTCAGTTCATACCAGCTCCCAAGATCCAATTGTGTGCCTCTCTTCCCAGCTCCACATTCAGTGATGTCATGTTGGTAGCTTGCCATTGACCACAGTAGGAGTATTTACACTATGGAAATCAGCAAACACTACAAATCAGGGCTCTCTTCCCCTAGAGAGCCATTTGTTAAACACTTACCAGCACACCACCTTGCAGGGTTCTGTAAGAAATAGAGATGGTGAAGCCCTTGATATAGATAAAAGATTTTCAAAAAAATTAACAGAACAGATGTTTTTAGGACCAGGACATTGAGCTATAGGTTTTATTAATGTTGTCGTAAAATACCCTGAATTCACAATAACTTTGATATTGTGAGGAGAAACATATAGGAGATTATTTCATAAGTAGCATTGACGTAGTGAATAAGAATTCAAATGCTTGAGCTCAAGAATTTTTTTTTTAATCCAAACGGCAGTGTAAATCAAATTTAATGTCTTTAATAAATAGCAGTTTTGGAAACTAGAATTTATAAGGAGGCAATATAAGAAAAACCTTGACATCCTTATGAAAGATTTTACATTTTCAAATGTTTCAAGTGAATTTCTTTTTTTTGTTTGTTTATTGTTGTAGTTTAAGTGAAAGTTTACATTTCAAGTTAGTCTCTTATACAAAAATTTATACATACATTGATATGTGACTCTAATTGCTCTCCCCATACTGTGACAGCACGCTCCTCCTTTCCACCCCATTGCCCATGTCCATTCAACCAGCTCCTAACCCTCTCTGCCTTCTCATCTCGCCTCCGGACAGAAGCTACCCGTTTAGTCTCATGTATCTACTTGAGCTAAGAAGCATACTCTTCATGAGTTATCATTTTATGTCCCACAGTCCAGTCCAATCTTTGTCTGAAGAGTTGGCCTTGGGAATTGTTTTAGTTGTGGGTTGACAGTGTGGGGGCCATGCTTTCCAGGCTTCCTCCAGTCTCAGTCAGACCATTAAGTCTGGTCTTTTTACTAGAATTTGTTGACATTAAGAATTTTAAAAAAAATTTTTTATACAATTTTATTTATTTTGTTGTTGTTGAGAATATACACAGCAGAACATAAACCCATTCAACTCTTTCTACATATACCGTTTATTGACATTGATTACATTCTTCAAGTTGTATAATCATTCTCACCCTCCTTTTCTGAGTTGTCCCTCCTCCATTAACATAAACTCACTGCCCCCTGAGGTTCCTATCTAACTTTTCGAGTTGCTGCTGTCAATTTGATCCCATATAGATAGTTCTTAAAAGAGCATAATGCTCAAGGCAGACATTTTTTACTAGTTAAACTAAACTATTGTTTGGTTTTAAGAAGACTTCAGGGGATATTTTTGGTTTAAGTTTTAAAGATTATCTCAGGGCAGTAGTTTCAGGGGGTCATCCAACCTTCATGGCTCCAGGAAGTCTGGAGTCCATGAGAATTTTAAATTCTGTTCTGCATTTTCCTCCTTTTGATCAAGATTATTCTATGGAATCTTTGATTAAAATGTTCAGTATGGTAGCCAGGAACCATCCAGTCCTTCTGGTCTCATGGCAGAGGAGGCAGTTGTTCATGGAGGCAAGAGCTCAAGAATTTTTTAAATCCAAGTCCCTCATAAGAATTAGTTAGAAGCGTGTAGAGACCAAACTATTAGTGGTTACCAGGGGTGGATGAGAAGGAGGGGAAAAGGGAGACTCATTGTTTAGGGGACACTGAGCCTCTGTTAAGGGTGATGGAAAATTTGGAAATGGATAATAGTGATGGTTGAAGAACATGGTAAGCATAATTGTTGTCATTGAATTATCCATGTGAAGAATACTGAAATGGCAAATGTTTTGTTACATATATACTTGTTGTTGTTGGTTGTCATCTAGTTGATTCTGACTCTTGGCGACCCCACGTGTGACAGTAGAATTGCACCAGAGGGTTTTTATGTCTGTGATCCTTCAGAAGTAGATCACAAGGTGTGTTTTCAGAGGTGCCCCTGGTTGGTTTTGAATGGCCAATCTTTTGGCGGGTAGTGGCACACTTAACTGTTTGCACCCAGGGACTCCTATATATGTATTTACCACAATTAGAAAAAGAAAAATAAACAGTAGAAAGTGGCTGCACTACCAGAAAGCAAATACAATGTTCATATGCAAAAATAAATGGGTTTCCTATATACTAGTGCCAAACAATTAGAAAATGAAAGTAGGCTCTCAGGAAACAGAAGCCACTATTGTCTTTGCTGAGCCCTGACCTTCAGACCATGTATCCACCCCTTTCTTTGGCCCTCCTGATTTTGTTCTTTACTAGAGTTCTTTCTATGCTGTGTGGTCCTGGGCAGGCAGCATGGAGTAGAAGTTATGAACCTGGGTCCTGGTGTCTAGGAGACCTGGGTTCAGATCCCAGCTCTGCTACCTGTGTGACATCAGCCATTGACCTCATTCCCTGAGCTTCAGCTTGCTCATATGTAAAATGGGGATGATAATAATAATAATAGCTGCCTTGTCTACGTGGCTTACGTATATGCTTCCCATCCTCTTATCAGAAGGTGCAGTATAGCCCAGAGAGGTAAAATAACTTGCCCAAGGTCACACAGCCATTAAATGGCAGTGCTGGGATTTGAAACCAGGACAACTGGCTTCTGGTTTATAGTCTTAACCTTGCTCAAGCCAAGAGCCTGAAAAATGGCAATGATAATCATAACCATTATTCCCTTTTTATGACCCCTCCAGAGTCTGCCTGAGTCCTTGGAGCTAAACTCTCCCCGGTCCCCCGAGTCCGACTGGGGGCGCCCCCCTGGGGGTGACAGAGACCTCACCAGCCCCTCCTCAGGTAAGCATCCTGTCTCAGGTGGGGGTCTCTCGGCCTTTCCCTTCCTCATCAAGTTCTGCTCTACCCTTTCAGCTGTCGGGTCTCCAAGGGTCTCCCGGGCTTCTAGTCCTGAGGGTCACCGCCCCTCTTCTCCACAGCCAGGAGCCAAGGTAAGGGCCTAGGTACAGCGCCTCCTTGTAACTCTTTGATCTGACCACCTTGGAACTCCCACTGCTGGAGAATCGGGGAGTTCCGAGCCCACACCACAGAGCAGGGAACGCCTGGTTGTTTAAGAGCATTGGATTTGAATTTTGGCTGCCACTTCTCAGCTATGTGACCTTGAGTCAGTTATTAAGCCTCTTTGTGCCTCAGTTCTGTCGTCTGCAAAATGGGCTAATAGAGGTATCTACCCCCTAAGGCTGATGTGAGTATTGTTTTTGGATGCCACTGAGTCGATTCCAACTCCTGGTGACCTCATGTGAGAGTACAACTGCCCCATAGGTTTTCCTAGGCTGCAGTCCTTATGAGAGCAGATCACCTTGTCTTCCTCCTTAAGAGCCACTGGGTGCGTTCAAACAGCCAGCCTTTCTGTTAGCATTCAAGTGCTTAGCTATTGCACCACGAGGACTCCTCGATGTGAGGATTAAAACTAGATAAATGCCTGCAAAGGGCTGTAAATAGTGCCTGGATATAGGAAGTAGTCCCTTCATTCATCAGTTCATCCACTCAACCAATATTTATTGAGAATCTTCTGTGTGCCAGGCACTGTCTGGGTCTGCACTGTCCAATATGGTAGCCACTAGGCACATGTGGCTATTTAAATTTTAAGCAATTAAAATGAAATACTGGAGAAACCCCAAGAGTATGGCCTTCAGACACCCTTTTAACTCAGTACTGAAGTTACTCCTGAGGTTCACCAAAGATTAGACAGGTCTATAGGGCCAACAATAACACCCATGAGGAACGTGCGGTATAGTTCAATCGTGTACATGAGACTAATGGGCACAGCAGCCCAAAAGCAAAGATGAGAAGGCAGGAAGGGACAGGAAAACTGAACCAATGGAAACAAGGAAACTGGGGTGGAGAAGGGGAGAGTGTTGACACGTTGCAGGGTTGGCAACCAATGTCACAAAACAATTTGTGTATTAACTGTTTAATGAGAAGCTAATTTGCTCTGTAAACTTTCACTTGAAGCACAATTTAAAAAAAAAAAAGACAGTGAGAAATAAATAAAAATAATAAAGGAAGACGGAAGGAAAAAAATGAAATGAAGTAAAAAAATTCAGTTCCTCAGTCAGAAAGTTCTGTTGGACAGGGCTGTTTAGGTGCTGAGGGCATGACAGTGAACAAGATGGAAAAAAAATCCGTTAATGTAACATTGTAATGGCAGGAGGAGGCAGGTAATAACCAGTGAACTTAGTTAACTATGCATTATTTTATACAGTTTTAATTACTAAAGAAAAAAAATGGAACAAGGTAAGGGGGTTTGGGATGTTTGGGCAAGGGCTACAATTTAAATGGTATGGTCTGAGGAGGCCTCGGAAAGGTGATATTTGAGCAGGTACTTGAAAGAGGTGGGGAAGCAAACGTTGGGGCTACCTGAGGGAAGAGCATCGCAGGCAGATGGAACAGCCATTGTAAAGGTTCTGAGGAAGGACTGTGCCTGGCTTGTTGGAGAAGCAGCAAGGAGGTCCGTGTGGCTGGAGTCCAGTGAGCTAGGGGACTGAGTGGCAGTTGAAAGCAAAGGAGCAGATCAAAGGGGCCCTGTGGGCCAAGGTGAGGCCTTTGTGGGATTCGGAAGCCACGGTTGGGTTCTGCGCTGAGGGGCAACATAACCTGCTCTATGTGGGAACAAGTACCCTCTGGCTGCTGTGTGGGGAGCAGACTGTGGAGGGCGAGGGCTGAGGCAGGAAGCCCAGTAAGTAGGCGTGTAGGATAGTCCAGGCGGGAGATAACGCTTGTTTGCACTAGGCTAGAAGTGGAAGGATCCCTGGTAGCGCAGTGGTTAAGCGCTGGCTGCTAACCGACAGGTCGGCGGTTTGAACCCATGAGCTGCTCCGTGGGAGAAAGATGTGGCAGTCTGCTTCTGTAAAGATTACAGATCTAGAAACCCCATAGGGTAGTTCTACTCCATCCTATAGGGTAGCTATGAGTTGGAATCCACTCGACGGCACACAACAACAGAAGTGGAGAAAATGAGAGGGCATCAGATTCTAGATAGACTGGTCTGTGAACCTTATCCCAAACCCTTGGGACCAGATGTGTAATTTAGAATTCAAAATTTTGCAGATTCTAGAACCAAGAGTCAGAATCCATTGGACAGCAACCAAGAACAACAGAAAGGTGCCAGAACCAGTTCTAGTGGCTATGGAGTTAACTCTGACTCCTGGCCACCCTGTGTGTATCAGAGTAGAACTGTGCTCCATACAGTTTCCAATGGCTGGTTTTTCAGAAGTAGCTCGCCAGGAGTTTTTTACAAGGCACCTCTGGGTGGACTTGAACCACCAGCCTTTATGCTAGCAGCTGATCACGTTAAGCATTTGCACCAAGCAGGGACTCTCTAGAAAGGTAATACAGTGCATATACTGTGTATTATATAAAACCTCCAGCAGCACGCAACGGGTGCAGCTCCTCTAATCAAAGACATTTGATTACATTTCTTCAAAGAAACATATGAATATACATACTCAATGGGATAAAGACTATAAATAACATCACGATTTAAATGTCCAGTGTATTCATTTAGCAACCAAAACCAAAAACCAAACTGTTGCTGTCGAGTTGATTCTGACTCGTAGAGACCCTATAGGAGAGAGTAGAACTGCCCTATATGGTTTCCAAGGAGCGGCTGGTGGATTGGAACTGCTGACCTTTTGGTTAGCAGCTGAGCTCTTAACCACTGCGCCACCAGGGCTCCATTTATATAGCAACGGACTAATAAATGAACTAGTCAGAGTGGGGTAAAAAAAATATTATAAATATCAGGCATTTTTTATTTCTATGGAAAAAGGTTTAGGAAGTTGTCACAACACACGTTCAGGTACAAACGAAGCCAAATACTCATGACATATGGTGGCTTGAGGCCTTGGGGTTCTGAGCTGAGGGGAAAAATACCTGGTGATCTTCTCCTGTAAAGATTACAGCCTGAGGAACCCTATGGGGCAGTTTAACTCTGTCCTATAGGGTTGCTACGAGCAGGAATCAAACTCGACAGCACACCACAACAATCTTTACGAGAACAGATCACCAGGTCTTTTTTCCCTTTGAGCAGCTGGTGGTTTCAAACCGCTGGTCTTTTGGTTAGCAGCTCAGCGCTTAACCATGGTGCCACCAGGGCTCCTTGAGCTGAGGTATATGAACTGACTTGAGTGGGAACGGGCGCTCTCTGGCAGGCGTATTGGGAGCGTGTCAAGCCGTCAATGACGTTACTGAGTTGGAGATGGAGTTGGACGTCTGAGAAGGGGCCAGGAGTGCTTCCCTTAGGATGAGGCAAGTGGCCTTCATAGAGTTTCTTGTAGTGTCACCTGCTCCTTAACAAAGGGTCTTGGCTAGACAGTCTCCCTTTAATTGATTAAACAGCTGGAATCTCTTGGTCATGGATAAATACGCTCTGTTGAAGATCAGCAATTAACAGATTATCTATTTCACCTTTCTGCCCATTGAGAGTTCTTGGCCTGTGTTGCCAATGTCACCAACATCATCACTATAATCCTCTTGCATTTCTGAATTTCACACCATGTCAGCAATTCCTCTATGACCCAAGGAATGTTCAACAGGTGAATTATTGTGAATGTTTAACATTTCTTCCATAGAAGCTTCCACGTGTATCTGATCATCTTTGGGCATAAAGAACAAGGTTCAAAGCCATCCTCTTCTCGTTGGTGGTGGTGTTGTGTGCCGTTGAGTTGATTCCAACTCATAATGACCCTATATGACAGAGTAGAACTGTCCCATGGGGTTTCCAAGGCTTTATGGGACCAGATTGCCAGGTCTTTCTCCTGAGGAACTGCAGAGTGGGTTCGAACCACCAACCTTTTGGCTAGCAGCCAAATTGTTACACCTCTAGGGCTCCTTCTCCTCATTAGTGACAGGAAATCTGGTTGCTAGAGGACGTTGGGAGGAAGTTCTTTAGTTTTCTTCTGCAGGTTCATTTGCAAACATCACCAGAGCCCTAAGTGGGTACCTGCATTTGTTGACAATGATTTATGGACATCATTCTGAATATTAGCAGCTGTAAATATGGCATCTTCTGTAAGAAATCTTAAGTTTTGGGCCTCCCGATAACTGCAGCCAGAATACAGTAAAAAAAAAAAAAAAAAGGGTGGTGGTGGTTATTTTTGCTCATCATGGCCTGTAAGATATCATGATTATAGGCTGTGCTATAGAGCCGCTGATTGGAGACAGTGGTGGTTCCCTGGCAGAATTCTTGCCTTCCATGCGGGAGACTCAGGTTTGATTTTCAACCCGTGCACCTCATGCGCAGCCGCTTCTCGTCTGTTGGTGGAGGCTTGTGTGTTGATGATGCTGAACAGGGTTCACTGGAACTTCCAGACTAACATGGCCTGGTGATCTACTTCTGAGAATCAGCCAATGAAAACCCTATGGATCATGATGATACAATCTGCACCCCATCATGGGGATGGTGTAGGACTGGGCAGCGTTTTTGTTTTTGTTCATTTTATTGTTTTAGGTGAAAGTTTACAGTGCAAATTAGTTTTTAATTCAAAAATTTTATACACAAATTGTTTTGTGATACTAGCTGCAGTCCCCTTAGTGTGTCAGCACTCTCCCCCTTTTCCTTTCCACCCTGGATTCCCCGTGTCCATTCATCTAGTTTTCCTGTCCCTTCCTGCCTTCTCATCCTTGCTTTTGGGCAGGTATTGCCCATTTGGTCTCATTGTATACTTGATTGAACCAAGAAGCTAATTATCACATTCTTTTTTTTGAAATAATATTGTTTTTTGTGAAGGTTTACACAGAAGTTTAGGTTCCCATTCAACAATTTCTACACAAGTTATTCAGTGATGTTGGTTACATTCTTCAAATGCATGAACATTCTCATTATTTCCGTTCTGGTTGTTCCATTTCCATTGATCTAGTTTCCCTGCCCCCGTACAGTCTCATCTTTGTTTTAAAGTAATTGTTGATAATTTGGTCTCATATAGGTGATTTTTTAAAGGAGCACAGTACTTATGGGCAGTGTTTTATTCTGTTATAGATAAGGTTGCCATGAGATGGAACCACTGACGACTCTTTCTATTCTGGGTCTTCTATAACTCAGAAATGATTAGGTTTGTGTTCCACCCTATACTGGTATGACCTCAACCTACTACTGATTGATTTCATTCCATTAGATTGCATTATGAAAGGTAATCTGTCTTACACAAGGCCAACTGATTAATCACATGTAAAAAGTTCATGACGAGTGTTTGGTCAAATGACTGGGAACCATAGCTTAGCCACGCTGACACATAAAATTAACCATCACATCATATGTCTCAGACAGGGATAAGTCATACAATAGAGACACTCAGATCATTGAGGAAGCCTTAGAAAAGATAGTTCAGTTGAGTCTGAATGAATGGGGGAAAAAAAGTTCGGCCATGTAGAAAACAGTGTTCCAAGCACAGGGAAGACTATGCAAAGACATGGAGGTGATGAAGAGGCCACTATTCTGTATGGGAAACAAAAGGCTGAACTTATTTCTTGCTTAAGCAAAGTAGAGCTATTCTAAGATAGTTACCCTGAGCGAAACAGAGAGTTGGTCTCATAGTGTGGAGATCAGAAAATGGTGGACTTTCAGAGGTAGGCGTGTTTAGGAATTGGTTGTCCTTAAGCTGTGGAAAAAGATCCCTGGTAGCACAGTGGTTAGGTGCTCCGCTGCTAACCGAAAGGCTGGGGATTCGAACCCACCCAGTGGCTCCGCAGAAGAAAGACCTGGCGATCTGCCCCCATAAAGATTACAACTAGGAAATCCTATGAGGCAGTTGTACTCAGTCAAACGGGGTCACTGTCAGTCGAAATCCACTCGATGTCACGCAACAATAACAAGCTTTGGAAGCTGTGTGGGTCACTGGGGTCGCTGATTGGCTGGCTCTCAGAAGCCTGGTTAGGGAGCCAGTTGTAATTGCTCCAATCACCCAATTTAAAATCATTTCTGGTGGCTACTTGTTATGATGGATACAGAACAATCAGTCTTCCCCTAGGACCATGGGAACTTTTTTATTTTCAGTGTGCTTAATGGCCAAAGGATTGGCAGAGAAGCTGTGAACTACAATTATTTTTGGGAATAGCTCCTCCCTTACTCCAGCCACGTGGTTCTGGTAGCTGTCAATCTCGCGGGCGGCCCAATTAGAGTGAAGCATCCTCTTGCAGGCAGTGATTGGTCCCAAGGTCTCCCGAGAAGCAGCGGATCCCAGCTGTCTCCCTGGGGTTTTCTATTCGGAGACAGTAGTGAGTTCTCTTTGGTTTTGAGACTGAGAGATGCAGGGAGAACTAGAGAGAGCGTATGACATCAAGTCTAAGCCTGCACCCCGCCCCGCCCCCCCAAACCTAGCCTCTTCACAATTTTGTTAGCCGACAAATCCCATCCCCTCTTTTTTGTTGTTGTTGCTAGTTCAGAGTGGCTTTTTTCTTTCTGGCACAAGCAACCCAGAGTCCTGATGCTAGGAGGCGAGGAAGCTTGATATGTCTAGGGACGTGCGAGTGTTTGTCAGGCTGGGCTTTGGGTTATGTAGGGCAGCTGATGGGCCTCAAACCCCTTTGTCCTTCAGGGCCCCAGAAGGGCTGTGAGCAGAGGAGAGACAGCATCCACTTTGGGTGAAGGAAGATCCCTCTGGGGTTCTGTAGGGAACAAGACTGGAGGTCTAGGGGTTCAGAAAAAGAAATTGGTAGCCCAAGGCTAGGGTCTCTGTGTGTTTCTCATCTCCCCAGGCCCCCCTGCCCCGGCCCCGGATGAGTGCCCAGGAGCAGTTGGAGCGTATGCGCAGACACCAGGAGAGTGGACGGTCCCTCCCTCACTCCGCCTCCTCCAGGCTCCTCACTCTGGGGAGGACACTGTCCCCAGCTAGACGCCAGCCTGACCCGGAGCAAAGGGTGAGAACAGGTTTGGGGAGTGGAGAGATGGTGTGGTTCTGGGTCCTCTGCTTCTAGCCTGATCCTCAGTTTCCCTCTTTGTAAAATGGGGATGATTTCTACCACCTCCTTACCCAGAACTTAGTTTCCAGATTCACCCCAACTTGTACCTGTGCTAGAGTTTGCTTCCTGGCCCACCTGGAGGTGGGTGGAGTGGGGGCAGAGAAAACATTGCCACCTCACCAGCGCTGTCTCTTCAGTTATGGGTCGTGGGTCTGGATTCCAAGCCCAGTTTTTCTTCTCAGCTGCTGTGTGTTGTCAAAAACAAAATAGTCAAACAAGTAAGGAAACTGATTATACTCAGGCTGTGGCCATTGGGAGGGCACCACAGATCCCAGGATCAGAGTGGTTTTCCCACTCCGGTGGTTTTACCTCAGACTTTTATAGGGAAGAGTAGACAAGTTATGGGGGTAGTGGTGGTTCAGTGGTAGAATTCTCACCTTTCATGTGGGAGACACAGGTTCGATTCCCAGTCAATGCACCTCATGTGCAGCCACCACCCATTTATCAGTGGATGTTTGCATGTTGCTATGATGTGGAACAGGTTTCAGTGGAGCTTCCAGACTAACATAGACTAGGAAGAAAGACCGGGTGATCTATTTCTGAAAAATAAGCCAATGAAGACCTTATGAATCATAACAGTCCAATTCCATGAGCCCGAGCTGGCTCGATGTCAGCTAACAACAACAGACAAGTTATAGGTGGGGTGATTTACAGTTGAGATTGTGCAGTCGGGGATTCTCTGACAGTCAGTTGAACAGGAAATGTTTAGCTCTGTGTCTAGCTAGTTTCAGGGTGACAAACAGTTCAACTCATCAGTTATGTAAAAGGACAGAAATTTGGAGGGTATGTGTCTGGCCTCACCATACGTAATTGAGGCGGGGTGATTCTTTGCAGCAAGTCATTTGCTGGAACACAAAAAAGTGGAGGGATTTTTTAACCTTTGCTCTTCTGGAAGCTGGAAGCGCAGGGGTCAGGTAAAGGTCAACATTGTCAGTGTCTTTGGGCTATTTTATTCCCTCACTGAGCCCCCTTCTCTTCACCCTCCAAATGAGGACATGGGGCTTCCAGCTGAAGAATCCTAATGCCCCGATTCCTTCCCAGCCTGCCCTAGACTCCTTGGGACACTCGGGAGCCCCGAAATGGCTCAGAAGCTCCGGGTCCTGGAGTAGGTGAGGAACTGGAGGGTGGGGCAAGGGAGCAGGGAAATTAATTTGCCAAAGGGGAGGGAAGTAGCATTATTATTGAAAACGCTGGAGTAGAGAACTACACATCTCAGAACTGTAGAGATGCATGAGTTCCTGGGACACGTGAAGCAAAATAGAAAGCCCTAGACCCGCAGTGAGAACTGCAGTTCCCATTACATCTTGGTGGATATCAAACCCTTCCCCTTCTTCTAGGAGATCTGATAGAGATATGCTAGACTGGACTACAAATCCCATAATGCACGTGGGCTCATGTCGGGCACGCCATGTTTAGTATTTTTAGAGACACGTGCTTGGGACTACAGCTCCCAGAAGGACTCCCGCGGCACTGCGGTCCTCACTGTACTGGCTAGTTGCACAGCCCCCCACCCCCGCCAATCTTCCGTTCTTTCTAGCCCGAGGAACACCACGCCTTACTTGCCGACATCCGAAGGTCACCGGGAGCGGGTCCTCAGCCTCTCCCAGGCCCTGGCCACTGAGGCGTCGCAGTGGCACAGAATGATGACAGGTGAGGGGTTGGGAACCGTGTACTCCTGAGTTTTAGGGAAGGTTGGAGGCCTGGAATCCTAGGTCCTGGTGAGGAGGGGCTCGGAGGCCGCCAGGAATCATTTGTTTTGGTGAGCAAAGGGCGGGCCAGGACTTCAGAGTTCTGGGCTCCAGGTAAAAGGGGAGCGGGGTCTGGGAATCCAGGCTCTGGGGGAATGGGGATCTGAGGAAGGAGGGCTGGGGCTGGGAGCATGGATTCCAGGGTCAGAGGGAGGAGGGGCTGGGGGACGGGACTCCTGGGTCGGAGAGAGGAAATGCCTCGGGATCCAGACTCTTCGATTGCGAAGTTTGCCATTCTCATTCCTCATTCATCCTCTCCAGGTGGAAATCTGGACGCCCGGGGAGATCCTCTTCCCCCTGCGCCTTCGCCGCGGTCGGACCTCACATCCCGGGTTACCTTTCCCCCAAGATCTCCTGCAGCGGCTAATTCCCGCACCGCGGCGTCCTCAAGCCAGGGTAGTGGGCGTGGTGGGGGCTCCGCCCCCTCGGAGTCCACGTGGCGACCTGGTACCGCCCCTCCCGCCCTGACCCCGGCCGAGGGGGCGTGGCCTCTGCGAGTCACACTACTGCAGTCCAGCTTCTGACCCACCCACACGTATCAGACAATCAAAACGCGGGGTGTGGCCTGGAGGTACCGCCCGGAGACCTAGAGCCAATCAGGGCGTCTGGGGCGAGGTCTGGGGTCCAACCGGCGGCCTAGGGAGGAACGGTATCCGCAGCCAAAACTTTGTTTTCCCAACGCTGTCCCAGTTTGAATTAAAACTTTGAACTTTTAGTAAATAGCCTTTTTGTTTTTTGGTCTGTTTGGAGTTGTGACACAGAGGTTTCTGAAGGAGGAGAGCTAGATTTCTGGAAATTTGGGTTCCAGAGGAAGGGGGTGAGGACTCCCACTACAGGGTGTGAGGAATGAGGGAGACAGAGAACCGTACTCCTAGATTAGATGAGGGAAGGAGCCGGGGAAATGGACTCCAGGGTCAGAGGGAAGAGGGGGCTGGGGACCGGACTCCAGGTCTGAGGGAGGAGGGAGCTGGGGGCCCATAGTCCAGGTCTGAGGGAGGAGGGGGCCAGGGGCCGGGACTCTTGGGTCTGAGGGAGGAGGGGCCTGATCTGAAGGTGGAGGGGGCTGGGGTCTAACTTCCAGGTCTGAGGCTTTCCTGGCACCGCCCCCAGGGCTGGGCCTCCATAATTCAGCCTCTATTTAGGACTTGACTCGACGGCCTTAGGGGACTTTGGAGGTGGAAGGAGGTCCAGAGTGGCAGACAGAGCAAGAGACTAGCTGACGAAGAATGGCCACGGGAACGCGCTACGCCGGGAAGGTGGTCATAGTGACAGGGGGCGGCCGCGGCATCGGCGCAGGGATCGTGCGTGCCTTCGGTGAGTAGGGATCTGGGTGCTGGGATTTGGGGTTCCTGGGGTTCCGGGAGAGGAGCCCAGGGGCTAATAGGAGTGAGAGGAAGAGACTCCAGTACTGAAGTCAAGAGTCTCACCTTATAAAAAACCAATTTACATGCTGTTAGGTGCCTTCGACTCACAGTCGCATAGCGACCCTATAGGACAGAATAGAAGTGCTCCACAGGATTTCTAAGGAGCGGCTGGTGGATTTGAACTGCCGATCTTTTGGTTAGCAGCCGAGCTCTTAACCACTGCGCCACCAGGGCTCCTCTAATTTTCACGCGAAGGAAGGGTTTTTCAGTGGAAGCCTGGGACTTTTGATTTTTGAGATCTTTGCGACGTCTAGAGGCAGCTCCTCCCTTCTTGGATCTCAGGTATTAATGGCTGCAAAATGGGTGGTTTGGGGAATAAGTCTCTTGCAGGTTTAGGGTTGACTCTGGAAGCCAGGAGTGGGGGCCTGGGAGCCCATAGCAGGTACCTGGAGTAGCCTAGCGAAATAGATGTTGGGACCTTTGCCCTTTGTCCCAGAGGATCATCATAAGACGGGCGTCACGAGGGGACAGGAGGACTGCTCTGCCCCTCTCCAGATGGCCACAAGGGAGCAGCAGAGGCTTTTGCCAGTTCTATGCTGGGGTAACCTGTTCCCTTTCCTTTTCTCAGTGGAAAGCGGGTCCCAAGTGGTCATTTGTGACAAGGATGGTGAGTGAGGGTCCCTCAGTCTTTGCCCTCAACTCATCCTTCTTCAGACCCAGAAGTCTGAGTCCCCAGTCCCCTCTTCCCTCAAACCCAAGGATCCTGGGTCCCGGCCCCCTCCTCCCTCAGACCCAGGAGTCTGGCCCCCGGCCCACTACTCCCTCAGACCCAGGATTCCAGGCTCCCAGCCCCCTCTGTCGGAACCGGGAGTCCCAGCCCCCAGCCCCCTACTGCCTCAGACCCAGGAGTGGAGGCCTCCAGCCTTTCTCTCCCTGCAGAGTGTGGGGGCCGGGCCCTAGAGCAGGAGCTTCCTGGCACTGTTTTCCTCCGCTGTGATGTGACACAGGAGGAAGACACAGAGGTGAGCACATTTTCTGTCTGTACTCCTCAGCTCCAAATTTACCATCTTTCTCCCTCTCTGTGCCTTTTTTCTCTGGGGTATTGCACATGCTCTTCCTTTCCCTCCCTCCTGGTTACATTTTATCTGTCCCAAAGGATTCAGACCATGTCATTTTGCCCAGAGACTTCCCCTGATTCTGTTGGCCAGGTCACAAATCCCCCGAGTAAGTTTTGTTTTCTTCCCCACATCTTACAGACTCTTATCACACCTGTCACATGGGTCCCATGATTGAGTTCCTCCAAGTGGGTCTCCTTCTTAACAGTCCCCGCCTCCATCTCTGGGTTTCTATCCCTTTCTTCTAGTCAATATCTCTCTGGGTCTTTTTCCACCTCTTTCTGGCTCTCCGTCACCTTCTCTCTCTCTGAGTCTCTGTGCCTCTCTCTCTGGGTCTCTGTCCCCCTCTCTCTCTGTCCCCCCCCTCTCTGGGTCTCTGTCTTCCTCACTCTACATATCTGGCCCCCTCCCCACCAGGTCTCATTTCCTCTCACTGCATCTCTGAAATGACATGGCAGTGTGACCATAAGCACCCTCACATGCCTGGTGATTCTGGAGTTGTCTCACCCTTCCTCTAGCTTTCCCTCCCTGCCTTGCTCTTGGGATCCTTGGAGCCCCCGGAGGCCAGCACCACAAGCTGCCCCCTCACTGGCCATTTCCTTCTCCCCAGGCCTTGATCTCCGAGACCATCTGCCGTTTTGGCCGCCTGGATTGTGTGGTCAACAATGCTGGCTACCGTGAGTTGTGGGGCCCCAGGGCCAACCTGTCCTAAAGCCAGCCCACCTCCTTTTACCCTCCCCTTCCTCCTGTGCCTCAGTTTCCCCTTTCCCTGACCCCGATTCCCTCATCCTCCTCCACACCACTCTATGTACTTTGGCCAGTACAATACAACTATGGGATCCCCCAGGCCTGGGCTTCAATCCTGACTCAGTTTCATTGTTGCTGTGTGCCACAGGCCAGTGTCTTCACCTCTCCGTGTCTCAGTTTTCACATCTCTAAAATGATGTCATTGGGGGTTGTCTCAGTCATCTAGTGCTGCTGTACAGAAACACCACAAGTCAATGGCTTTAACAAAGAGAAATTTATTCTGTCACAGTCTAGTAAGCTACAAGTCCAAATTCAGGGTGTCAGCTCCAGGAGAAGGCTTTCTCTCTCTGTTGGCTGAAGGTCCATGTCATCAGTCTTCCCTTGGTCTGGGAGCATCTCAGCACAGGAACCTCAGGTCCAAAGCATGTGCTCTGCTCCCAGCACTGCTTCTTGGTGGTATGAGGTCCCCAATTCTCTGCTTGTTTCCCTTTCCTTTTATCTCTTGTAAGATAAAAGGTGGTGCAGGCCACACCTCAGGGAAACTCCCTTTACATTGGATCAGGGATGTGACCTTAGTAAGGGTGTTACAATCCCACCCTAATCCTCTTTAACATAAAATTACATTCACAAAATGTAGGACAACCACACAATACTGGGAATCATGGCCCAGCCAAATTGATAGACACATTTTTGGTGGGACATAATTCAATCCATGACAGGGGTTCAGTGGTAGAATTCTTGTTTTGCATGCGGGAGACCTGGGTTTGATTCCCAACCAGTGCACCTCATGCTCAGTGACCACCCGCCTGTCAGCGGAAGCTTGCACTTTCCTCTGATGAACAGGTTTCATCAGAGCTTCCAGACTAAGACAGACTAAGAAGAAAGATCTGGCGAACTACTTTTGAAAATCAGCCAATGAAAACCCTATGGACACAATAGTCTAATCTGGGAATGGCGCAAGGCTGGACAGCGTTTTGTTCCATTTTGGGCATGGGGTGGATCCCACGTATTGGCTGGGAATCTAACCGGGTCTCCCATAGGGAAAGTGAGAATTCTATCATGAACCATCACTGCCCCCTATTGGGGATTTAGCAGGGAACAAAACAGAGAAAACTTTCTTGCCCTCATATGGAATTCACATTGTAGAATGAGGAACTGGACAATAAAAGACCAATATATAATAGGATGTCTGGTGGCGATGCATACTGTGAGAAAAATAAAGCAGTTTGAGGCCAAGAGAATGACTGGGGCTGTGCGGGACAGAGGGTCCGAGAAGACTTCTCCAAAGACATTTGAACAGCTCCCTAATGAAGTAAGGCAGTGTGCCCAGGGTATGCGGGGAGGAATATTTCAGCACCTCCAAATCTTTCCATCCTGGGACCATCTGAACAAAGTGCCACACACTGAGTGGCTTAAAACAACAGAAATTCACTCTGTCACAGCTCTGGAGGCCACAAGTCCTAATTTAAGGTGTCAGCAGGGCCATCCTCTTTCGGGAGGCTCTAGGGGAGGATCCTTCCTTGCCTCTTCTAGCTTCCAGTGGTTCCTGATGTCAAAAATAAACAACTCAGAGCACCATTAACAGATTGCTATGCAGGATTAATAGACAACTTTGAAGTTGAGCAGCATGTCATGACCGCGTAAACCAGTGCTCCGATTAACTTAAGGTTTTCAGGGTACTTATATATCATTTCATCAGGAACTTGGAACAAAAAATTTTTGATTGGTTGACAATTGTATCAGAATACATATGTGCTCAAACATTATAAAGCAAAGAAATAGAAATCTTGCTAAAATACAATCACAAGATAAGCAAGCCATGATTGTAAGACCTCTGGAGTCTCAGAAACAGGACATGTTCATTAATCTTCCATTGTGTTCTGAAAGAACAAGTGTTTCAGTGAGCCTGATCACCTACATACAATTATGTGAAACAAGACAAGCTGCTTCTAAAGGTTAGTTACAGTTTAAGGCATAAATATAAGCTTTAAAAATTATATACAAGTGGTTATACAGCACACAGGTTTTTAACATTTAATAAACTAAACTTTGCTATCATGAGCAAGACACCGCTCTGTTTTCAGAAAGCAAAACTTATAATTTTATTGCACACTGGCAATCCTTGGCGTTCCTTGCTTGGAGATGCATCACATCTCTGCCTCCATGTTCACATGGCCGTCTTCCCTCTGTCAGTCTCTCTGTCTCTTCTCTTTTATAAGGAGTCCCTGGGTGGCACAAATGCTTAAGTGCTCAACTACTAGCAGGAAGGTTGGTGGTTTGAATCCACCCAGAGGCACCTCGGAAGACAGGCCTGGCAGTCTGCTTCTGAAAGATCACAGCCTTGGAAACTCTATGGGGCAAAAGGAGTCCTGGTGGCATAACAGTTAAGCGCTAGGCTGCTAATCAAAAGGTTGGTAGTTTGATCCTACCCAGTAGCTCCAGGAGAAATTCCATGGGGCAATTCTCTGTCCGATAGGATTGCTGTGAGTCAGAATCCAGAATCGCCTGGATGGCAACCGGTTTATCCAGGATGACCTCATGTGAATTTAACTGATAGTATCTTCAAAGACCGTGTTTCCAAACCCTATTACCAAACCAGGTCATGTTCACAGGTACCTGAGATAGGACTTCAACATATCTTTTTTTTTAATTGTGGTAAATATATAGGTAACAAAACATTTGCCATTTCAACAATCTTCACATGTACAGTCCCATGATATTAAGTACCTTCATCATGTTGTTGAACCATCTCAGCATATCTTTTGGGGGGACACAGTTCAACCCATTACACTGTCTCTTTATCCCTGTGTTCATTCATCTCCTGATGTTTTGGGAGCACCCAGGTTCTTTTCTTCCCATTTCCCATCTTTTCCCTTGTTCTTACTCCCCTATCTTTCCAGCTCCTGGTCTTCTGAATGTTAATTTTTTTTTTTTTTTTTTTTGTCCCCTTACCCCTTGCCCCCAGTTCCTTCTATTTATTCATCAAATACATTCATGGCACCAAGTATCAGGTACAGATATTGACTTGTGATAGTTATAAGCCCAATAACAAGGTGTTAGCCTTATTCTGCAGATGGAGAAACTGAGGCACAGAGAGGCAAAGTGAGATGCCTGAGGTCACACAGCCAGGAAGTGGCAGGGCTGGGATTTGAACTCAAGTAGTCTGGCCCCAGACACTGGTCTCTCTCTCTCTTTTTTTTTAAATAATATTTTATTATATTTTAGGTGAAAATTTACAGCAAATGAAGTTTTCATTTAACAAGTTTTATAACAATATTGTTCCATGGCATTGGCTACATTTTTCACAGTGTGTCAGCATTCTCATTATTTCCATTCTGTTTGTTCTGTTTCCATTAATCTAGCTTCCCTGCCCCTCCTTACTGTCTCATCTTTGCTTTAGGGTAAATGTTGACCATTTGTCTCGTAGTTGATTATTTAAGGGAGCACGGTACTCATGGGTGATATTGTTTATTTTATAATCTAATCTATTATTTGGCTGAAAAATGACCTCTGGGAGTGTCTTCAGTTCCAAATTCAAAGAGTATCTTAGGGTGATAATCTTGGGAGATCCTCTAGTCTCTACCAGTCCTGTAAGTCTGGCCTTTTTTAGGAATTTGAGTTTTGTTCTACATTTTTCTCTCATTCTCTCTGGGACCTTCTATTGTGTCCCTGGTCAAAATGGTCAGTAGTGGTAGCCGGGCACCATCTAGTTCTTCTGGTCTCAGGGTAGATGGGGCCATGGTTCCTTTGGGCTATTAGTGCTGTGGACTAGTTTCTTCTCTGAGTCTTTGGTTTCTTTCATTCTCTTTTGCTCCAGGCAGGTAGAGACCGACACTGGTCTCCCTTAACTGCTGCACAATTTCCCTTCCTTTTCACCTTCCTTTCTACCTGCAGCTCCCTGAGCCCCCTCCTCCACTGCCCCTGCTTCCCCTCCCCATTCTCCTGTCACAGGGATCCCCTCACTCTCTCCTTTTCTCTCTGCCCCGCCCCCTACTCTTAGACCCACCCCCACAGTGGCCACAAGAGACTTCTGCCCTGGGCTTCCGACAGTTGCTGGAGGTGAACCTGCTGGGGACATACACCTTGACCAAGGTGAGGTCTGGGGCCCCGCCTAGGGGCAAGAGTCAGCTCTGACAACGGGATCGTGTATGAGTGACCCAGGGATGCCAGAAGACTCGGTGCCTTAACACGACAGAAGTATGAAATCAGGGTGTCAGTAGGGCTGTGCTCTCTCTCAGGGCCCCAGGCTCTAGCTTCTGATAGCCGCAGGCATTCCGTGGTTTGTGGCGGCTTCACTCTAATCTCTACTTCCCTCATCACATGGCTGTCTTCCCTCTGTGTCTGTGTCTCTTTTCTTTCTTTCTTTTTTTAAAAATAATATTTTACTGTATTTTCAGTGAAGGTTTACACAGCAGTTTAGATTCCCATTCAACAATTTCTGCACAAGTTGTTCAGTGACATTGGTTCCATCCTTTACAAGGCGTGAACATTCTCGTTATTTCCGTTCTGGTGTTTCCATTTCCATTAATGTAGTTTCCCCGCCCCCTTACATTCTCATCTGTGTTTTAAAATAATTGTTGACCATTTGGTCTCTTATAGGTGATTATTTAAAGGAGCACAGTCCTCACGGGGGATATTCTTTATTTTGTAAGCCAATCTGTCACTTAAGTAGAAGGTGACCTCGAGGATTAGTTTCTGTTCAAGATTTGAAGAGTATCTCAGGGCGAACTTTCACCTAAAGCACAATTAAAAAAAAAAAAAAAAAGGTATCTCAGGGCGATAGTCTTGGGGAGTCCTCCAGACTCGACTAGTACAGTAGATCTTTTTTTTTTTTTTTTTTTTTAGGAATGTGAGGTTTTGTTCCACATTTTTCTCCTCTTACTCTTCTTCTCTTTTTATAAGGATGCCATTAGAAGGTCACTATGAGTCAGAATTGACTTGATGGCAACAGATTTGGTTTGGTTTCTTAACATTCAGTATGAGCTCATGTAGCTGTTCTTTAGTGCTGTCAAGTCAATTCTGACTCATAGCAACCCGATGTGACAGAGTAGAAGTATCCCATAGGGTTTTCTAGGCTGTGATCTTTACCGGAGCAGATTGCCAGGTCTTTCTCTTGCAGAGCTGCTGGGTGAGTTTGAACCGCCAACCTTTCGGTTAGCAGCTGAGCCCTTAAGCCCTGTGCCACCAAACCAAAACCTGTTGCTGTCAATTCCAACTCATAGCGACCCTATAGGACAGAGTAGAACTTCCCCATAGGGTTTCCAAGGAGCAGCTGGTGGATTCCAACTGCTGTCCTTTTGGTTAGCAGTTGAGCTCTTAATCCCTGTGCCACCAGGGCTCCCTAAAACAGTGTATATGTGTGCCCTTTTGGACAGTGTGGTCAGGGAAGGCATCTCTGGAGGTGATATTTGAGTCAAGAGCCCAAGAAAGTGTCTGAGGAAGAGGTTCCAGGCAGGGAGAACAGTCAGGGCAAAGGCCATGTGGCAGGAGTGGGCTTGGAGTGTAGGAGGAACAGGGAAGAGGCCAGTGTGGTTGGAGCTGACTAAGGGAGAGAGAGAGGACGGAGGATGAGGGCAGAGAGGGGACAGATTGTGGGTGTCCGTGAGGACTTTGCTTCCGCTCTGAGGGAGGCGGGAGCCATGGAAGGATTCTGAGCAGAGGAGGTTTATCAGAGCTGCCATAAGCGGGATCGGGCGCCCTCTGGTGGCCGTGTGAGAAACAGGCTGTGGGAAGTGAGGGCTGAGGGTGCCATGGTCCAGACAAGAGAGGATGGTGAGAAGTGGTCAGACTCTGGACCTAATTTGAAGGTAGATTTCTTTATAGACCAGATGTGGGGGCAGGCAAGAGAAAGAAGGGCGTGGAGCAGCCATCCACAGGGATGGAAAGCGACCCCTGTGAGTAGAACTGAGTAGAGTAGAACTGCCCCATAGGGTTTTCTAGGCTGTAATCTTTACCAGAGCAGATCGCCAGGTCTTTCTTCCATGGAGCCGCTGGGTGGGTTGGAGCCACAAACCTTTTGGTTAGTAGCCAAGCGCTTAACTGTTTGCGCCCCCAGGGCTCCATATGTAGATATAAAAAAAACCAAACCCATTGTCATCCAGTAGATTCCAACTCATTTGTATGGAGTCTTTGAAGGTTTAAACCCACCCAGAGGTACCCTGGAAGATAAGCCTGGCGATCTACTTCCGAAAAATCACAGCCTCGAAAATTCTATGGAGCAACCAACAACTTTCACTGGACTAACCACTAACAACAATAGACATATATATATATATATGCATACATATATATGTATGGCGTCCTGGTGGCACAGTGGTTAAGAGCTCTGCTGCTAACTAAAAAGGTTCGCAGTTCGAATCCACCAGCCACTCCTTGGAAACCCTATGGGGCAGTTCTACTCTGTCCTGTAGGGTCATTATGAGTAGAAATTGACTCGACGGCAAGAAGTACAGGTGTATATATTTTTTAATTTCAGATGGCTTTTATTTTTTTAAATTTTTTATTGTAAAAATATAAAGAATACAACATTTACCCATTCAACATTTTCACCTGTAAAATTCAGTAAAAACAATTACATCCATCATGTTATGCAACCATCACATCCATTGCCAAACTTTCCACCTCCATAAACGCAAGCTCTGTGCTGCCTAAACAATGATTACCCTCTTCCCCCGTCCCTCCTGCCCTGGCAACCACGATTAAACTCTGATCCCTGTACATCTGCCTCTTCTAGGTGTTTCCTATTAGTGAAATGATACAGTGTTTGTCCTTTGGGATCGACTGATTTCCCTCAGCATCACGTTTTCAAGGTTCATCCTTATTGTGGCATCAGGACTTCATTTCTCTGGTACGGCCAGAGTAGGAGTCCATTGTATGTGCAGGCCACATTTGGTTCATCCGTTCATCTGTTGATTGACATTTGAGTAGTTTCCACCTTTTGGCTATTGTGACTAGTGCTGCAATGAATTTAATTAACCCAAACCAGTTGCTGTTAAGTCGATTCTGATTTATGGCAACCCCATGTGTGTCAGAGTAGAGCTGTGCTCCACAGGGTTTTCAGGGGCTGATTTTTGGATGTCAATCGCCAGGCTTTCTTTTGAAGCACCTCTGGTGGACTCAGACCTCCAGCCTTTCTGTTAGCAGCTGAGTGCGTTAACCGTTTGCACCACCCAAGGACTCCATACATTTAATTAGTTGCCACCCGTTAGAAGGTGAGAGATTTCACATAGTCAAATTTCTTGAAAATTTTGCTGAGCCCGTGGACTGGACCCAGGGGCAGGGGCAGTCTGTTAAGCAGGGCCCAGCTCTTGATTATACTCTAGTCCCTGTCTCTCCCTATTGGACTCCCTGACCCTGGTACCTGTGAGTGGTCCCTACAACACCCTCACATGGGAATTAAGGGTCTAGATTATGGGGATGGTCCCCCGGAGTTCACATATCAGCTCGGCTACTTCCTAACTATTACATTGGGAAAGTTACTCAATCTCTCTGTACCTCAGTTTTCTCATCTGTAAAATGGGGGTAGGAATAGCATCTAATTCACAGGGCTGTTCTGCAGGTTAAATGAGTTAATACACACGAAGCCCTGAGAGGTGCCTGGCACCAGGGCTTACCCTGTGGGAGGCTTTATTATTTACCATGAACCTTGCCCTCATAGTGTCTCTTGTGACCAACCCACCTTACTCACCTTGAGATCCTTGTGATATCTCTTGGGCAAACAGAACCTCCGGTGGCAGAAGGGAAAAGGTGAGATTTGAACCTTAAGTGGGAGGGATGGAAGTGGAGAAGTAAGGCAAAGGGGGTTTCACTCACCAAGAAGGGAGTGTGCAAACATCCTGGGGCCAGAACTACCTGATGTATTTTAAGAACCAAAGAAGCCCTTGTCCCTATCTCCAGCCTCAGCAAATGCAAGACCAAAAAAACCAAACCCATTGCCATTGAGTCAATTCCAACTCATATCACTGCCTCATAGGGTTTCCAAGGAGCAGCTGGTGGATTTGAAGTGCCGACCTTTTGATTAGCAGCTGAGCTCTTAACCACTATGCCACCAGGGCTCCCAGCAAAATATAAATATTTCATTGAACTTGTTCCATCCGTTGCTTCCTCCCTTCCCCTACCCAGACATCATCTAATTTCATCAGGAAGAACTTTGTATGTACCACAAACAAATTGTTGTTGTGGTTGGGTGCCATCGAGTGGATTCCAACTCATAGTCACCCCATGTGACAGAGTAGAACTGCCCCATAGGGTTTCCTAGGCTGCAATCTTTACAGGAGCAGATCACCAGGTCTTTCTCTCCTGAAGACACTGAGTGAGTTTCAACCACCAACCTTTCAGTTAGCAACTGAGTGCTTAAACATTTGCATCACCAACAGATCAGATTAGGATTTTCTTTTAACTTTTAATTTTGATATAATTTAACTTACAAAAAAAATGGCCAGAATACTACAGAGAACTCCTGTATACTTAGAGTCTACATGGTTAACATTCTACCACCTTTACTTTATTCTTTTCTTTGTCTGCCTATCTTTCCATCCAACCATCTTTGTATCTACATCTATGTATCATCTATCTATCTGCCCACCTACCTACTTACCTATCTATTTTTCCCCCTGAACTGTTTGAGAGTAAGTTGCAAACATGATACCCCTTTACCCTTATAAGTACTTGGAGTATATTTCTTACGAACAAGAACATTCTCTTACTAAACTACAGCAAGAATTTCATAATCGGGAAATCAACATGGACACCATAGTATTAGCTAATTTAAGATCTTATTCAGAGAACTTTTTAATGTAATCACAGTGCCATCATCACACCTATTGTCTTAATTATGCTGCTGTAACAGAAGTACCACAAGTGGGTGGCTTTAAAGAACAGAAATTTGTTTTCTCACCGTTTAGAAGGCTAGAAGTCTGAATTCAGGGCTCTGGGGGAAGGATTTCTGTCTCTGTTGGCTCTGGAGGAGGGTCCTTGTCTCAGCTTCAGTAACCCCAGTGCTCCTGGGTTCCTTGGTGACCTTCACATGGCATCTGTCTTCCCCTGTTTGTGCTGGCTTGTCTCTGTCTATGCTGCTCTTTTTATAACTCAGA